TACAGTATGAAAATTGTGGGGTTTCATATATAAACTCCTTCCCTTAGATTAATAACCTAAAATAGAAGTTTTATTTTTCTTCTGAACACTTCATGTCGAGAGGAACAGTGCTTTTCCTTAATTCCAAGAGTGACTGAACTCTGGCAAATCATCCAACTCATGATGGAAAGTTTGAAACTTAAGATGTTGGGCTCCATTCTGAGCTAGAAGCTCTGAGCTAGAGCCCAGGAACTGGTCCTCCGAGCAAGTCATTCATCATGCTGAAGACTCACTGTCCTGAAACAGGATCGAAGTGCTGCTTGTAGTTTGGATTCTTAATCCCTAAACAAGGGTCTTGCATAAAGAAAGTGCTCAGTGAAAGTCTGTTAAATGAATTTCAAACAAATCTTCTTGATCACACATGAATGACGGCATTGATTCTGGTGTTATTCAAACCGACCACCTAGTAGATGGATTATTAGGCTAATGATGGCTGGTCATATTAGAGTAAAGCAACATTTTTAAAGTACCTTAAACCAACATTGGCTTGGGGAGAGTACGCAGCACGCCATGGAGTGAACGTGTCTAGAACACAGAAGTCATGGCTTCGAAGTTTTCTTATATTACATACGTATAACAGACTTGTCACCGGGCATGGTATGAATGCTATCTGCATTTGCTCAGATCAAGGTTTGCGATGACGTTTTCGCTACTGCTATGTAGAAGTTATTTATTGCATGTGAGACCCGGGGTTGACTACACGAGGTAATATTCTTATCTCTTTCTTCCACATCTTTTTCCTGATTCTGCATAATGGCTTTGCATAATGAATAGTAATGTGGAACAAAACAAAAGCATTTGTAGGTTGCTGTTTGGTACGGCTCGGCTTTCCAATTCCACAGTCTCTAAAATACTCCAGGACACTTTAGATGTTGATGCTTCTCTACTAGTAGCTGGTTTTTTTCCTACGGCAATTTTAGCTACTCCAGGTGAGGACTTGTCCTTGTTGATGAATGAGAAATTTAACAATAAATAATCAAGTGTTGGAAAAAACAGAAAATAGACACAAATAAATATTCACATTTATCAGCTTTCTAGAGGAGACATTTTAGTCTCAAGCAATGAAAGAACTCAAAAATATTTGACTGTAAAAGACAATAAAAATAAAATAAAATAAGTCTACATTAAAGGTTAAAAGCAAACAAGAAATATTCAGTTAATGTATTGCAGGAATAATGACTATCTTATATGTAAAAAGATTATGCACATTTTTGTGAAAAATTAAACCTATAAATAGGTAACAGATAATATCAGTTAATTGAAGATAATAAAACAAGTTAATATACACTATATCAAACATACAAATTAAAAATTAGATTCCATTTTCTCCTCTCAATAAACAAAATTAAAACTTTATAAAATGATAATACCCTTTTTAAAGGGAAAATGAACTTAAATTATGCCCACGAGATGATAAATTTATACAAATGCTGCCTAGAAGAAAGCTTGGTAAGTTATCAAAAATGTAAAAGTGATCAGATCTACTAACTTAATAATTCTACTTCCAGGATATTCTAGCTTTTGTTGATGTATTAAAATACCTGACGTGAATCAACTTAAAGGAAGAGATATTTATTTTGGGTCACAGTTTCAGAGCTTTCAGTGCAAGGCCTGGCTTCCTTGCTGTAGGCAAGCATCATGGCAGAGGGACATGGCGAAAGAAAGCTGTTTACTGTATGGCGACCCAGAGAAGGGGAGAGAGTCAGAAAGACCCGACCAAAGTTCTTAAGGGAAGGCTCGATCTGCTCCCTCCCAAGAGGCTTCACTTGTCCATCAATTCCAAATAATGCCATTAAATTATGATCTCATCAGTGAATTAACCCACTTCATGAACTTAGTCCTCATGATTCAACCAATTAAACTTTAGCATATGAGTTTTGGGCATGTTTTATGTTCCCTCTGTATGATGTTTGATGGACAGAACATAACATGGAAGTGATCAAAGTTTTAAAAGAAAACAAAGAAGGAGGAGAAAAGACTTGAAGCCACGAACAAGAAACGCAACTCAAAGATTTATGAGATTTATTCATTGCAATATAACTTATGTTATAAAATTTTGCAGAAATACTAAATGTTTTAAAATGTGGAACTTAAAAAATCATTTATTTTATTTTTTATCTCTTGAGTTTATTGGTACATTTTAGATATATAATACGATGACATCCATCATTGGTAATTTGTACCTTTGCATGATTTTTCTGGTGTGAGAAACTGAAGGTGTAAATGAGGATCAAAATGTATAACAGATAATGTGTAATAGGGAAGAGGTCCAAAGGGGAAGGGGAAGGGGAAGGGGGGTGTAGAAGGGATTGGGAAAGGAAAGAAGGGTAAGGAATCAATATGAGAAAGGTAAGGAAAAACTGGAAACAAAATGTGGAATGTTAACTGTGGTTCATTTATCCAATGGATTGGCAACTGTTAAAAATGTATAGAAATAGTTCATGATAGCATACGCCATCATAATATAGGAAATAAAGTACAAAAAATATACAGAAGGATCACAGGTATGATTAAATTTAACCATCTACTTTTCAATGATAGAGAAGAAAGGTGAAGATCTTTACATTAAAATATTGTACAAATATTATATGTCATTGATTTGCAGTTGAGTAGTTTTTATACCCAGAATATTTTCATATTTCCTTTGATGTATAGTGCTCCTAATTACCATGAATATTGGGAAATGTAATAACTCCCTCAAAAGACTGGTTTTAGCCTTTGCTAACATCCTTATTATTTCAGAGATCCAAAAATGCTGAATGAACATTCATTCCTTTCATGGAAAATATTGTAGAGATCCAAGATCCTTAAAAGAACTTACAGCTCATTTTCATAGAAGAATGAAAAAGAAAGTATTGGGTTGAAATAAATGATCATAGTGACACTGGCTAGGGGGAAATAGTAAAATATAGAAAATAATATTTATGAGCTCTCTAGAATAAATTCTCAAAGCTTTTGTGGAACTGAACAAATTAAAAAAGATTTGACTACAAATATATTTTGAAAGTCTGTGTATAATAAGCAAAATACAAACAAAATTAAGCCATAAACAACAAATATGAATATATTAAAATAATGAATTTATTGTTTCTGATATTATTTAGCTTATTTGCCTTTGGGTAGAATTCTTCCACCGACAAGATTCAGTTTGCTTTTTCAGAGAGCAATCTGAAATCATATCTACTGCCTCTTTTATATAAATTCCCAATGTGTCTGTCCAAGTAATGGATAAGTATGCCTATTTATTTCTCAAAGCCAAGCATTCAGATGTTTTCTGAATATAAATTCATTTTATGATTACGGGAATGTACATTTTCCCAATACAGACAATGTTAATATATCCCTTCAAAAATTGAAATTCTTTTCACAAAGCACTTAAGAAACACTTTTTAGGAAGCTTGTGGTGCCAGGCCGCTGATATTCCTTTGTATCACATCTTTCAGATAAATTAATTATAGAATAAAATAAGCTAGAGCTGGAAAAGACCATAGAAAACTATGTTTCATTTGACAACTTCATTCTGCAGATTGGAAAACTGAAATTTAGATAGACAAGTAACCCACATAAACACAAGAACACAAAAACATAGTCCCGAATAAGTAGTGGCAGAATCTCTGAATAGCTCTTTAATTTGAAAATGGGGACTCTACTTTTATTTACACTTTTTATCCAAATTTGTATACTCTGCTGCAAATACTCAAGTCAACATTTGAGGGGTCGCAGATTTAGTTCAATGGTTCCATCACCTGCCTCACAAGCACAAGGACCTGAGTTCGATCCCCAGTACCAAAAAACAAAAAGAAAAACAAACAAACAAATAAAAAAATAGTTTGGTATACACCATACAGGCACAATTTGAAAGAGAGATTAACAAACATTTGACAACAATAAACTTTTAAAATACATGTAAAGAAAAAGTGGACAAAAATAAGAAGTCATATTTTTTTTTTAAATTTATTGAACCTCGACCTTGCAAACATCAAATGCTCAAGAACCAAGTCTTAGATGTGGTAAGATTCATGTGAACATGGTGCTCTCACTAAGCTGGAGCTTCTTAAATGTTTTGTTTTTCGGTAATACCTTCAGTATTCTTCATATGGAACTTTTAATTCCACTATTACCTAAAGTAATTTTAAGTAGTACTTTTAATTTTAATAATAATGTACTTATTTTATTATTTGTGAAATCTCAGCCAGTACATTGAACCTTATTTCATGGATAGTTTTGCTTAGGATATATAGAAATATTTTAAGAAATTTATGTTACAAATGGTGCTGTAAACATTACAAAAAATTGGAAAGTGATACAAGAATGACTTAAATTTGGGAAACAATGCTTTAAATAGCCCCTAAGCCAAAAGAGTAATCATTACCAGAGGATGAAAGAAATATCTGCCTGTAAGTTTGGAGTTCAGCTCTAGACTGGCATGAGGTGAAATATTCATTAAATGGTCTTGGAATCATTGGTCAGTCATATCAGTGTCCGGAGCCTCAGACTTCAACAATCAGGGAAAAAACAAAACCAACCTGTTCATCATATTGGTTTGATGCTACTCATCTTAGCAATAGAGCCATCGTCTTCAACAGTCCACTCATTAGGATCAATGTTTTCAGTTTGTCTTCTGAAAATTATTTGTGCAACTGAAATATACAAAGGAATCACAGGATTGTAGCATTTTCATTATTTTACTATCAAATTATTTTACGGTTGCATTCTTACTGCTCATTTGTAGAGTTGTATTTCTTATTACGGTACTCTCAGATTATTTTGCAGTTGTATCACATTCATCTTCCCAGAACTCCCGAAAAAGTGACAGATGTGCCTGGTGTTGAAACTCTGCAGAGGGCTGAAGGGAATTATGAGCCATTGCTTTATTGGCTCACAAACACTGAGGAGCAAAGCAACCTTCTGACTGACCTCACTACCCAGGTCAGTGTCTGCTGATGCTGTGTGAATGATATCATGATGTTACGGAAGTCGGGGGAGAGGAGTTGGTCATGGTGATGTTTCAAAGCCAGAGCCACACACATCCTGAGTTTCTGCTTTCTTATAGACAGGTGAAAAAAAACATTCTTAAAGAGGTCTGTTAGCATGCACTGTGGCCCATTATTAGATTTCAATGCTTATTATGTGGTTACTTATAGGGTTAAAAGTAGTATAGTTCTTGAGATAAATAAGAAAATAACAAATAGACTTACACATTGGGGCGTTATGTTTAGCACTGTCATTGAAAGATAATTAGTTTTTTTGTTTTTTCTTAGTTTCAAGCTGTCATGAATATGCATAGATGTTGAAGGGTGTATTTCGCTTTGGAGATGGTTCATGTATAATGGCAGTGAGGTATTCCTCTCGGAAATGCTCATCAAGGGCCTGCTTTTCTTTATGAGCCAACACGCTTCTTTCATCACAGCTCTTGTCACGAAGCTGCGGCTGTCTTTGCTCACTCTACCTGCGGAGCATTCACCATCGGAAGGCAGGTTGGCACCCTCCTCAGGACCTTTGTGTGTTTCTCTAAGGCTTCGCCTTTTACCTACAGACCACGATGTCTCGCATTCATTGGTAGGAAGTCAAATAAATCACAAACAACAGAATTTAGCTTATGAACTAAAATGTTTCATTTCCCCACTGCATGATAATCACTTATTTTACTTATGAGTAATTTAGACAAAATTTAGGAGGGTTTACTTTAAGAAAGTACCCCCTTTTTTAAAAGTACCCAGGCTGGGGGAAGGCAAGAGGGAGAGAGGGGATGGGGAAGGATAAAGGATCAAAGGTGACGTGTGTATGTGTCAACCCTTGCAATGAATGTGTTTTGTGTATGTATTGAAAATTATTCCAATTTCTTTTTAAAGGGGGAGAAAAGTACTTTGGGTACTGGTTTGCTTAGGATAATAATTTCATACTTTAAGAAACAACATAACTGTTGAATTAAAACTTACGTGTCTTAATAAAGAATATTTTAATCTTATGACTACTCCAGCTGTATGCAAAACAAAAATTTTTCAGGATAGCCCACCAATTTTCATCACTTTTGAACTCACAGTAATAAAATCCAAGCTCCACTGTCGTGACTGCATCTCACATTTCCTGTACCACAACTCTGTATATATTTATGCTCATTCCATTAACTCCTCACTTTTATTTAAGATCTATCATAAAAGGGCTGGGGATGCAGCACAGCGGTAGTGACATAGCAGAGATACGGCTTCAAACCTGCTAGATGTCAGATGTGCTGAGTACTTGTTCCCTGAAACCAAAGGACGAACTCCAAGGAACAACTGAGGTTAAGAGTAGGCAAAAATTAATTGAGAGATAGCTCCTGAGAGACAGGAAGGGTCCTGAAAGTGGATTGCCACAGACAACGTTTCTCCAAAAATGTTTTATAGAGCAAAATTGTGAAATGGCTACAATGTAAGCCAAACTATAATCAACCAATAAGATTGCAAGTATGGCTGCTTAGTCAGTATTGATCCAATAGGGAAGCAAGTCACGGAGCAAGGATTTACGGCAAGAACAAACAAATTCTGCGGAAGGGATGGCTCTAGATGTTCTGGTTGCCCATGTAGGTGACTGATGCCTATCTAGACTTTAGTGAAGGAGGTGATATTAATTACGTTATAATCTAAAATTATTGTTTATCCCTTAGGGAGGCATGTAGACCTGGGCATTACATTTTTATCTTGAGGTCTGTCTTTCTTCAGATGTGCCTCCAGATGCAGATTGGATGTGTTCTCATCTTCTGCACTGATTTCTTTGAGGGCCCATCTCTGGCAGTCACTGCCTATTAATTTCTAAATAGCTTAGCTGCCTGTTGGAGCAGAGCACTTACCTACCATGCATAAGGCCCTTGATTAGAGCCACAGCATGAAGAAAAAAAAAATCTAGCATGAACAAGGTATCTTGCTAAATGTTTTGCAATGGTGATTGAGCTTGCAAAATACTGTCTAAAACTTGAAGACATGGAGCTTATACTTTAGTAGACCAGATATATTCATTTCTTCATTTATTAATACATTAATTTTAAAAAATTTTGCATCTACCATGTGCCGGTGCCGAGTTAAAACATTTTTGTTTTTACTTTCATCAAGTCGTGGTTTTTCTTTTCCCATGGACATAAACCTCAGAAGGTAAGATGTGAATATTAATTACTAAATTACAGGTTTTGACTACAAAAAGCTGTGGAAGAGCTGCATGAGTTCTGACATTATGGAGAGGAGAGGGATGATTTCTAGCTGCGGAGGAAGAATTCCAAGAATTTGGTGGCATCTGAGCTACATCTCAAAAGACGAACAATGAATGCATGAAATTCAAAAGTACAGATGGGGTAAAGGACGGGACTCTGAAGATACAAAAAGTAAGACGGGGCTGTAGGGCATGGGGGCCAGTGTGGAGAAAAGGCAAGAATTTTATAGACGATCTCACTGTCATTCAGAAGAATTTGACCTTTCTTCCACCGGAAGTTGCTAAATCACAAGATCAGCACTTTCTCCTAAGAGATTTAGCCAGGTTTTGGTTCCCCCTCTCAGTTCTGATCCTCCTTCTCCTCCGTTTCACAAGTTCATTTACATTGAAATGCAGCTGAGAAACAGGAGCTGCCTACCTTGTGACTCTGTGGGGAAGGAGGACGCTTTGGCAGGGCCCTTTCTCAGAGCACTGTGCTCCGCCACGTCTGCTGCCCAGGTGATATGGTTAAGGTGTGAAGGACGGCGCTATCGAACCATCCCACCCTTTGCTGTCAGAGCAATGAATGTGGGTTACGTACATTTGAAAGAAGAATTTGTTTCCTTTCAAACCTTGGAGCATCACCAGAAGATTGGGTGGGAGGATGAATGGCCTCATTTGCATAAATCGGGGAAATCTGAATAATATTTTGTATTTGGAAAAGCTTGCTCGGTTGCTTCTCAATACATTGGTGCCATATGGCTCATCAGCTAAGTGTGACCAGAAAGAAAGAATTCCATATGATACAGTAGTCACAGGAGCAAAAATCCTATTGCGTTTCATGTGCTTTGATGCAAAACAGAAAACAAATGAAAGCAACTAATTTTTATATTCTGTCTGTATGGATAGAATCTCCAGGGCTACTGGGATGTACATAAAACTCAGACACCACTGCTGCTAGAGACATGCACTGAAGACAGAAATGAAAGGAACAGGCTCAATTTAAAAATTTAGAGATTTGTACAGAACAAAAGAAAAGATTGAAGTCATTTTTTTTTTTTTCCTTTTAGGCGGCTTAGAAGCACTCAGTCAGAAGCCAGCAACAGACCGATGAATTTGAAGGGAAGCTCTGCCTGCTCTAACATGATTTTATGGGGCAAAGCTAGAACATTATAAACAAATACATCTGCTTGCCTGTTTCGATCTTTTGTAGGGAACATCTTCATAACGGTCGATCACAATTTTAACCAGAAGCAATAAGAGCGATCAAGTCAAGTCCGTGATGCTGGACTTCCCATCACAATGGACTAAATATTTGTGTCTTACCCAAGTAATTCCAAAAGCTGTACTTCTAAAGAGCTCCCCAGGATGACTAGTGATGGTTGTAGCCGTTCTAGTTTCTGGGTTGTATTGGAAATCTGAGACAGGTCTTTCCTAGATGCTTCCTAAGGTTTCGTTCCGTGGCATTTTCAAATTTCAGAGGGCTGATGTGGTGCACTGTAGACGGAATTAGCAAGAGAAAACCTTTCGGAACATCACAGGCTGACAAGAGCTGTGCTGTGGAGGTAGAAGCGTCGTGGGTTGAACCCAATCAGAAATCAGGAACAAAGGGTCAACCAGTTAAATGGGAAGGGACAGGGATCATCTCTAAACTGTCTCCAAGCTGTCCTCGGCTTCATTTATTAACAAGCTGGGCCAAGCCGTCAGATTTGTTGGGAGTCTCAGATGAGAAAAACAACTCATTTTGAATAGCAACAAATGAAAAACAAGAAAGAGAAGGAGCTGAGCACTTGCGGGTCATCTTAATTAGGTTTGACCCATCTAAATTTCGCCACAATTAATGCTGAAAACGTTGATGTGCATCATAGCCCTTTCTTTTCAGTAGCTTTCAATCTAGGTGAGAAGATGGGATTTACCTCCAAATAAGTAGCAGACAACTTTAAAAAAGTATGTACGTGTGTTTTTGCTACATGGGTCTCTATATATAATGGATACAATATGTGAAGCTTAATATTAGCTCCATTTGCTAGAACAGCTCTCAAATAAACTCTTCCTTTTTGGAAAGTACCCATATACATGAGTGTTTTTGTTTTTGTTTTTTGACAAAGAGGCAAAAACACGACCATGCAGTTTCCTCCCTTTGATTCTCAGATCCACGTTTCTATAGCGTTTCTCCCTCTTCAGACCTTCTCTTTGCCCTTTGGAGATTCCCTCCTCTACAGCAAATGCTCCTTTACCTCTTCACCTTTTCCAGGGCTGTCAACCCTGAAGATGGCATGGAATCTTGCTTCTTTTCTTAGATCTCACATTTTTCTGTGGCCCACTTCAGCAGAGAAGCTCATTTCCCTAGACACAGAAATCTGAGGGGAGGAAGGTCGTCTATTTCTAGCTTCCTGTGCCATCCCAAACCATTAGCTTACCAGACCTGTTTCTTTTGAGACCCAGAGCTCCTGGCTATTCAATGTTCATCTCTCATCGTTCCAGGCACCTGATAACGTTCTATTCAATCAGTAAATAATTTGAAAACCAATTCCCAATCATTCTTTCCACTGTATGACATATGCACTGACCTTTTGCCGATCTCAGTTTCTTGACCTCATTCCACTTATACCACCAGCTTTTGAGACTTCCCTCTGGACCTTTATGGTAGCTGAAAACATTATACTTCAGAAGTCTGCAATATTTTACTTAATTAACCATACTGACTGATTTTTGTCTGGCTGGCTGGTTGATTGCTCTGATTTCCCTTTTTCTTCTTTCCGTGCCTGACTAGAAACAAAGATCCTTCCTCCTGTAGACGATACTCCATTTCCAAGTCAATTATATTAAAGTCAAACTCAGCAACAGTTCCTAACTGATTATATGAGTTTGGTCTACATATTTTGTTTATCAAGCATTATGGCGTATATCTAGATATCCCCCCAAAGTCTCACAAGAGGACATTTTGATGGGTGACTAAATCATGGATGTGCGATACTGGATCATGGGTGTAATATACTGGATTAATCCACTGATAGGTTTATAGCTGGGTGTGATGTTGATAGGAAACTTGGTGGAGAGAGATGGGTCACTGTGGGCATGACCTGGAGGGGATACATCCCACATCCTCCCTATTAATCCCCTGTGCTGCGTCCTGTCTGCCATGCCAGGACTGTTTCTCCTTTGCCATGCCACTCTGCCATGTGGCCAGGTGACTATGAAATGAACCTCTACAAACTAAGAAAGAAAATAAACCTTTCCTCCTTTAACGTGGGGGTGTTGGGTATTTTTTCCAGCCACAAGAAAGCAACTAAGGCACCACATCTGTGTTTCTTGGGCTCAGAAATCTTGAATTGACTTGTGTAAGTCCTATGATTCCCTGGTTATTAGAATGCATCATAGGCAAGAAGAATTATTTTGGCATTTTTCTCATAAAAAGCTTATAGGCATATTATTTAACTTTGTTTTTCGCTTATGGGAAGAAGCCAAGAACTAAATGTCATTGATTTTAAACAGGGTGTCTGTTTATGTGAATTTCATTAGAGTGAACCTTAGTAATTTTCAGAAATCCTGCAATGGAAATAAGTGCTAAGGAGTCATAGATCATTCATGGTAGCAAAATCAGTGAGGAGATTTAAAAATCTTCAGATAATGGCATAGCGAGCAGAAAGAGGGCTCAATTCTCCAGGAAGCAGTTCAAGGATACAGGCTCAAAGTAATTTTTTTAAATATTTCTTTTCAGCACAGCCCTTTTATTTGACCTCATTAAAATGTCTCAGCATTGTTTATTCAACATACCATTTAATCAAAGCCCTATCCTAGACTCTTCCCAAGATTCATTTGTAATCCATATGAGCAAACATTCTAGAATTATAAGGAAGAGAAATGTAGGCAAATTACAGATTTCTTTTCTTTCTGAAAAGTAAATATTTTATTAATCCATATCCATTTCTTAAAATTGGTTTATCTTTGAATCATGTATTACTTTGCTTTAGATAAAAAACACTGTACATATCTGAAGATTAGAAAGATTGGAAGGAGATTCAGAGTTGTATTTCTTCATATTGTTCCTTACATCTCACAGACAAACTTTCAGTCCAGAAAAGAATAAGAAAATCCATCATTCTTAACAACTTTTTTTTGCTGTATTGTAATAAATTAGTTAATTACCCCTCATCTTGTAGGGAGTGTTTTGCTATGGTTTTATTTATTACAGATTTAAGAAATATTTGGAAGATCAAGGGAGGAGACTGGAACAGGGCATCTCCATTTCACAGATGAGAAAACCAAGGCTGAGCGACAATCAAACCAGGACGACTTTTGGATTTTTTTTTTTTTTTGTATGGGCTTCATTTTTCTCCCTGGATCATCCCCTAGATAGTAACTGTCTCTATGTTAGAAAAAAATATTTTTAGCAGGGATTATTATGATTTCATTTGAAATCTATATCAATGATGTCCAGCACTAAAAAAGATACAGCATTTGCTTATTGCTTGTTATTGCTATTGTTTGAATTCAGGAGTTCCTAGGCAATAAATAAAGTGGGAAAGTTCAAGAGCTGATTATTGCTTGAACCTTTTGGTTGGATATATAAAAGGAAGAAATGTTACAACAATATTTTCCATCCCATTTGCTCTTCTAAAAATTTGCCTCCCCTCCAATAAGAGGTAAACTCTAGTGGCCCATCTCTTGAATTGAGGTGGACCTTTATGACTGTTTAAAAGAATATAACATGACGGAAATTATGCTATGTGATTTCTGAGGCTGGACTGCAAAAGGTCATGCCATCTCTGCTTCCCTCACTGGACACAAACTCATGAACCTCCATCCTCCATGCTAGCTGCCCTGCCACCATGTGACCAAAAGTAGCCTGCATACAGAAGCCACACGGGGAACTCCTAGCAGCCCCACTTTCCTGCTGTTCCACAAGCACCCTGCAGGTCCAGGGCAAAAGGGACCAGCTTTGTGAATGTCACCTCTAGACTTCAGGTAGCTGGTGTTGAAAGACACGCTTTACTGTTTTCCTCCAGGGTTCCTCTTTGCCTCTGTGGATTCCTGCCCACTCTCGTGGGTTCCAGTTTGTCTTTTCTATTTTCCATTCACTCTTCTTTCTATAACCTCTTTTCAAGTTTGTACTATTGATAAATATATATATGAAAATAGATAAGTCTCTACCTATTGGTAAATACATAGCCCCTATGTAACTTTGTATCAATGGTCTGTCTGATTGCTATATCTACTTAGCCTCAAGTGCAGATGCCTAGGCTCCTCCAGTATCTTCCAGAAAGTTCAAGCCCTCATTTCTATAGCAACTCATTAATCTCTTCACAGTGGTTCTGCATCTCTGATGAATCTTGGCTCATGTGGCTTGGGACAGCGGTGTGCTTAATATGTTGGGCTTGTCATGTAAGCATTTTTTTACTTAATCTTGGCTAGGAGGAATCTACATTTTCCCAAAAAGACTACTCATGTGAGGAATTGGTGAAGCCTGCAGCCACTCCAACAACGGAAATGCTTGCAGTTGGATTTGAGAAGCTGTAGATGAGACTGGAATTTTGGGAATGCCCATAGAGAGATATGTGTGAATTCGATAAGTACTTAAAGAGCAGAATCCTACTTCAGTGAGATAGATTCTTGGCAAAAACAGATAGCCATGATTTCCTGAATGAGAAGCTGAAGACATTTAAATTCAGCTGATTTTTTAAAGAAAAGCTTAAGCCTCTCATGTATTAATCATTTCCATCCATACTTTCTTCCCTCCCTCATTGAGCTATCTGGACAACCTTTGTTTAGTGCCTATTGTTCTGTTTAAAACAATTGGGAATCTGCTCAAGTTTGTTGTTGGAAAAGACATATGGAGGTAAATAGTAATGGTACTATCTATTAAGTAAATAAATTGATTTTATAAATCTTGGTAAGAATTACAGAGCCAAGGGACTGGGGATTTAGCTCAGCGGTTCGGTGGCCTGCCTTGCAAGCACAAGGACCCGAGTTCAATCCCCGGTACCAAAAAGACCCCAAACAAACAAACAAACAAAAAAGAATTACAGCTTCAACCAGTACTAAAGACACAGAAACAACAATTTGCTTAGTAAATTTGTGGATTAAACTTTAAAAAGAGGAGAGGCAGGGGAATAGAAAAACT